AAGCAAAGGAGACCTGTGGAGGGGAGCCCTACCCGGCCGCAATTTGGTGGCCTTCCCCACCTTGGCTTGGTGCCCAGCTTGAGGATAGGGCTGCCCTTCTTGTGCCTACCCTGGGTCCCCCTGCCTCCCCCCCAAGATGGCTGTGGGCAGAGGGCGAACTGGAGCCCTTTCAAAGCCAAAGTGGAAGGGATTGATGGAGGGTCATCGTCTCGTGTTCCCCCCTCCCCCGGCTGTGGGATGGAGGTCTGGGCGGCTGCTTATTGTGCAGACAGGATTGTGATGCTTGATCTGCTGGGCCTGTGTCTCCACATCCACACCCTTTCATGAGGCCAGGAGGAGGGGCCGGCAGGCTGCAGGACTCCATGCCGTCCTTCCACACTATGAGGACCTGAAACCTCCTTGGTCACTAGGAAAGAGGAGGGGAAACAGTTCCCAGGGCGTTTCTAAGCCAGGGGTTTGGAGCTCTCTGGGGAATAATTAAGTGGAAACAAATAGAAAGTCAAACCTTAAAAAGACAACCTTAAAAGAATTGACATAAAGTTGTGCACTTACCATTTTCAAAGAGGATTTGAGGAGACTTAGGACTAAGTAAGGAAATATGAAATAGGAGGAAAAAGGGATTTCTCAGGAAACAGAAGTGCTCCCCAAGTGGAGCGAGATAAGTCTGCATGCATGAGTTTCAATGGAAAAAAAGAAAAGTAAATTGATTTCAGCACACGGTGTGGAGGCAGTGAATCCAAGAGTAAAGCAGAACTGTTACAGGTCTTTTTATATGGGCTGCAGCCTATATTTAAACATTTCCAACTGTGGTTTTTATTTTCTATTTCTTAATAGATGGGTGGGGGTTGGAGGCATAGAGTTTTTACGTGATTTAAATACAAGATATAATTGTTTTACACCCAACTTCAGAGTTCAGTCTCCAGGAAAAAAGGTTTTCTGGCTGTTGTGTGAAATCCAGAGTAAAAAGTTTGCCTAAATGTCAATAGTTTAGAGTCCTCATCAAGGATTCTGTTGTGTTCTTAAGCATTTTGTGTGTGTGTGTGTACAATTGCCATCAAAAGACACAAATACCAACTAAGTGTAGAAAAATCTTTACACAGACCATAGATAAACTGTCGAGTTTGATCAGGATTTCCAGAAAGAAAATGTGAAATGTTAGTCTTGAGAATTCAGTCACAAAAGAATACAGTGCCATGTTGAGATGCCAAATATAAAAGAGAATGTTTAGTGCAATCCAAGTGGCAAACAAATACATTTCCTTTTTAGGGCTGGGGTGAGGCAGTACAGTGAGGCCTTGTTTGAACACCCTGAACAGAATCCAGTCTTGTAAAAGCCAATTCAGGGTCATCATTATGAATGTTGTCCGCAAGTGGATTATACCTTTATATCTGTGGTGTCTTCCTGGAGAGGACCTGTTGGTTTGCCACTGGATAAAATGACTCCAACTGGTTTTTTAATTCATGTGTCGTTAAAAAAACAAACACATCCATCTTGTTCTTCTCCCTTGGTATCAGGCTGTCAGTAGTTTTTTCTAAACTACCCACAGTGTCCTTATTTCTAAGTACCCTTCCGTATTAGTGTCCTGGGTCTATAGCCACAAAGTGTCACAAACGGATTGGCTTATAACAACAGAAATGGATTCTCTCACAGTTCTGGAAGTCAGAGGCTGGTTCCTTCTGGGGGCTGTGAGGGAGAATCTGTTCCATGCCCATCTTCTAGTTTCTGGTAGCTGCAGGCAGTACTCGGCATTCCTTCACTTGTAGACGTGTCACTCCAATGTCTGCCTCTGATGTCACATGGCACGTTCTCCCCTGCTTCTCTGTGTTTCTCTTCTTCTAAGGACCTTGGCCATTGAATAAGACCCACTCTAATCTGATAGGACCTCATTTTAACTAATGACATCTATAAAGACCCTATATCTAAATGAGGGCAACTCTATTCAATTCAGTACACCTTCCATTTTGCTGTTTTGAATCTGCTGTAGATTCTAAAGCCCAGAAACTAAGCTTGTTAGACCTCCTATCTAAATAAAACAAAAAGAGAGAGAGAAAAAGAGACTTGATCCTGTAGGATAAACCCCGAGGAGTCTTCCCTGGCATAAAATTCTTGAGCTTTAAGTGCTTTGACTTAGTACTAGCCATTTTTCCTCCCCAGAGGCTTCTCGTCCCTGCCATCTTTTTTCCTTTTTTCTTTTTTTTTAAACTAGATTCTAAACCAAATTTTTCACAGTTGAGACTGCTGGATAAAGAGCTTCTGACACACAAATGTGGGGTGTTATGCTTGGGTCTTTCAGACAGAGTTTTCTAGGGTGCTGGGGGAAGATTAGCCAAGTCATGCCTCTAAGAGGTGGTCTAGGCCATAAGTAGAATACATGAGAAGAGGCTGCATGGGAGAGGTGCCAGAATAAATTCCTTCTTACCCCTGAAACACAGACCCCTCTTTTCTCTTGGCCATCTGAGTTGCAGGAGACTGTTGCTGCTTGTGTGAGATTCTAGAGGCCCCATCCCTGCCTATCTCTGGTGCTGCCTGTGAATTATACTCTGTTTTGGTGAAAATCACGTTCTGTACAGCTGTGGGGAGCATTGTTGGAACAAACTCCCTTCTCAGTTCAGTGTATTAATACTTTTTCAGAGCTACCTTTGTGCGCATTTGCCCTCCAGACTGTTGAGAGTAGGGCACTGGCCTCTAAAGAAAGGAAAGGAGACCCCAGTGGAAAACGTTCACCAACACAGCGTGGAATGATGGGAACAGACTCTTGGGAATTCAGGATCTCTTGCATCAGCCTTTTTATGGCTCTGCCGAAAGAAAGTACTAAACCTCAGAGGAGCACAAAGAAAGAGAACGATATTAAACCCAGAATGATTTTAATCTTTGGCAGCAGCCCACATCCTTAAAAAAAAAAAAATCCTGCTTCCATTGTCATGCACCTGTCATTACACTGAAGGAGTTCTTTTTCTCGCTTGATGGATGGTGGTCTTAAAAGCTTGCTGTTTTTCATTAGCAGAGTGAAATGGGGTGCCAGTGCTGATGCTTTGTCATTCTGATGGAGTCTAATGCATGAATCGGTATAATTATTCAGTGTTTGCATAATCAGCAAGATTTTGAAGGGGAATGTTGCACAACTCAGAAGTGGCCTAATTTCACCTGACAATATTCCATTCACACTCCAAACATCTCCTCCAGGAAGCAGTGAAGTGTTGGTGGGTTTCCTTAAGGCACAAGCCGATGATGACGGTGGGAAATTGAGTTGTCCTAAATCACTGGTTAATTCTGATATATGCCCAGTGGCCACTTAGAGGGACTTGCTCTAGATCCCAGATGATACCCATCGCTATTGTTTTAGAAATGTCATTGATTTATAATGCATGAAGCGTGAGCTTTTGTTCCACATGGGTTCAGTAATGAACCACCAGCCAAATCCATTACATTTCATCAGAGGGTGAAGTAAGTCCCAGAAATGCAAGCAATTTGAGAGGAATCCCCCCAGGAAGGCCAAAGAAGGGACTCATTGGGGAGTGATTTGGCAAAAGCTACCTAAGTTAAATTTATACTCCTTTTTTTTGAGAGTCTCTTTTACAAAAAAGTAGCTTCTTCAGTTGAGCTGTTTCAGGGACCCTGGTAATACCAGTTGCAAGGAGGGAGACTGTATTTTTTTATTAACTCATTGAAATCAATTTATCCTAGCCCAGCGTGACACTAATACCAAAAATCCGAGCAGTGCCCGGGGCTGAATCTCATAGTCACCCAGCTCATCTAATTTGGACTAGATTGCTTTTTTCATTAAATCTAGAAATCATTTCAGACAGGCCACCTTTCTAGGGATTTCTGTGGGAGAATCATATTCTGGGGAAGAAGCCTTGCCTCTCTCAGGTAGAGCGTTGGACAGAGCATTTGAATCTGGGCCTGTTCCCCTTTCCTCCTAGAAGCCAGTCTGTTTTGATCTCCGTTCTTGAGAAGAGCTCACAATTCTGATCGCTAACATCTGCTGAATGCTCCCCACGTGCCCAGTGCTGCTCTAAGTACTTGACGTGTATTAACTAAGGTAATCCTCATAGCTTCCCAAGAAGGAGGTCCTGTTATCATCTTCATTTAGCCGCGAGGAACCTGAGGCTTAGCATGGTTGAGTAGCGGGCCCAAGGTCACACAGACAGCAAGTGTTGGAGAAAGGAGCCCAGATTCCGCAATCTGGCCCCAGAACTCACTGCTGACTTCCAAAGACCTCGCATACAACCAGGAAGTTCTGTAGTGGAAGAGCTTCTGTATTCCAAGGCAGAGCTCCTGGGGACCTTGTGGGGCTAGGGCAAATGGATTCCAACCCCAGGAGGCATGTGCTTTGATGTTATAGCCTCCGCCTTTCTGGGGCAGCTGAAACCCTTTTCAAAAGCAGAGCCTCGTAGGCAATGGATGTACAAGAGGATACTCTCATCCACGGCCGATGGAAGGATACATCTGATCAAAGTCTTTTCAAAAAAGCACAACCTAGAACCAAGTGCTGGCATCTCTCTCGGCAAAGCTGCATGAGAAAGGGCTATTTTTGTCACTGGGCCAATATCGTGAAGAAGAGCTGGGCCTCATCACTTGGTCTGCAGCTAGTTATAGAAAGTCAAGATAATAAACATCACTGGATGAATACTTTCCAGTGATTAAAAAGTGTGGGGGGGAGTCATCTGGGAAAGAAAGGCAGGCCCTGGTGTAGCTAGCTGCTCAGCCCTGGAAACCCAGGGTGAGGTCTATGGGACGCTTCCCAGCTGGGCACGCCCCGCTGGGTGATCAGTTGGCCGGGATTCATGAATCCTCCCTAGGACTGCCCGTCCTGTCCTCCAGGGCAGACGGAAGATGAGTGGTGTGGTGCTGATGGCCAGCTGGGAGGGAGGGCTTGGGAGATATGTCAAGGGAGAAAATGGGTGACTATTCGATGGAGTGGGCTCAGTAGCTGTTGCCTGGGAAACCTGTGGACTCTAAAATGAACCAGAGGAGGATCCAATTCTGCTTGTCTCCAGGGACAGATTTACAGACTGAAAAACAAAGCCTTCTTGACGGACCCAAATGAACATGAGACTTAAAAGGAGTCTCTGCAAAGTGGAATTCAGGACAGTGCTTTCCAAAGAGGAGGGAAATCACCCAAATGAGAGGAATGGTAAATTTCCCTAAATGTAAGAACAGTAGATCTTTTATTTTTATTTATTTATTTTTGAGTTGGAGTCTCACTCTGTTGCCCAGACTGGAGGGCAGTGGCACGCTCCCGGCCACCGCAGCCTCGACCTGCTGGGCTCCAGCGATCCTTCCGCCTCAGCCTTCCAAGGAGCTGGAATTACAGGCGCGCGCTACCACGCCTGGGTAATTTTTTGTTTTGTTTTATTGTAGAGATGAGGTCCTGCCAAGTTGCCCGGGCGGGTCTCAAACCCCCGGGTTCAGGCAATCCACTCACCTCGGCCTCCCAAAACCCTGGGATTACAGGCTGAGCCACTGAGCCCAGCTAGAACAGTAGATTTTAAGGTGTTACCCTGTTTATAGCAAATGTTCTATAGTAATTAAATGTGAATTATATGAAGATTTTAAAAATAGGAATTATTTCATAAAAGACATGTTTCTGAAGACACTTCTTTTGCAGTGCACTTAGGGAACCAAAGAACAGAACCAGTTTAGTCAAGCCACTTCTGAATCTTTATTCTGTGGAATTTTCCATTTCACGAGTCTGGACAGGGCCCCTTCATATCCTCTCTGCTTCCTGTCTTCTGAGGAGTCAGGGGCGGCCTCTCAGCCCCTCTGTTCATGGAGATCAGCTGAGACATGAAGAAGGGCACATAGACTGGATTGTCTTTGCTAATAGCTTCTAGGGAATCAGCCACCTGTTCTCATTGTTATCCCATCGGTTTAGAATATTCTCCTTTTCACATTAATTGTAGAAAGGCCCAAATACCTAAAGCATTCATCAGAATTACTTGGCAGGGCGGGGAGTGCGTGTGGTGAATAGACAGTTTCCAGGATGTCTTCCAGCTCACCAGATGACTCTTAGCTTGTCAGACTTGGAGGGTCACTGTTGTAGGATGTGGGTCCGCTCTCCACACACTCGGGAGATGTTGAGGTGGGAAAGGAGCTGGACGAGAGAGGAAGGTGCGTTCGCAGTTCTGGAAGAAAAGACTCCTTGCTCCGTCATGCTCTGCGAATAGCCCAGGCCACAAGTTTGGACTTGCATTCAAAGGAGCTTCCAAGCCGGGCTTGGTGGCTCAGCCTGTCATCCTGCGCCTTTGGGAGGCTGGGGTGAGTGGATTGCCTGAGCCCGTGGGCTCGAGACCCGCCCGGGCGACTTGGCGAGACCTCATCTCGACAATAAGTCAAAAACGAGCCGGGCGTGGTAGCGTGCGCCTGTAGTTCCAGCTACTTGGAAGGCTGAGGCGGAAGGATCGCCGGAGCCCAGCGGGTCGAGGCTGCGCTGGCCGGGAGCGGCCACCGCCCTCCAGTCTGGGCGACAGAGTGAGACTCCAACTCAAAAAACAACAACAACAACAAAAAAACAAAAAACAGAGGAGCTTCCAAGGATCAGTCACACTGTGGTGTGCTGAGGTAGAGGAGTTAGGAGATGCCAGCTGCTTGTCCACCCTTCTGTCAGTCTCCAAATGGGAGCATTCAGAGCTATCAAGACTGGACTTTCTCCTTGAACTTACTGAAGTTCTTTGCCCTGGTTTCATTTGACTAAGAACTTCTGCTCTCCCAGCCATCCCTGACACCTGGATTAATTAGGTCCCACGCATACGTTCTCATATCACTCTGCATTTTGTGATTATCTACTTAACATCTCAGGCCCCATGAGGGCAGAGACTGTTGTATTCACTGCAGTGTTCACCAGCATCCAGCACAATGCTTGCACATAGTTAATGCTCATGAAATATTTTTAAAAAATTGAATACAGTCCCTTTTGTGAAAATCCCAGTGCAGTTCTTGCTTTTTCCAAACTTCGGGAAGCTACAGGGTTGAGAATGTTGTAGATCATCTCTGAGGTCTGAAGCATCGCTATTCCTTCAAATTAACTTGGAAAGAAATTTCCTGTTTCTAATCAAGTGATTTATCCCCTCTTGGAAAATGTACTCGTGAAGCCTGTTCAGACTCAGGAGAGATTGTAAGCAGACTTTCCAATTTCCCGTCTCTCCAAATAGACGTCTGTGTTCTGTATACTCTCAGCATCTATCAGATGGGTACCAAATTTTATAAGACGTGCTTGCTGATTTGTTGAAAAGATTGTTAGCTCATTGGTAAGGCCCTGGCCTGGCCTCCCAAGAGTGGGGAAGAACTTGATTTCCCAAACAGATTGTTGAATGTCTCCCAGGACACCCTTGGACAGAGTGTGTTTGCTCACTGAGGATGCCGCTGTCCTCTTCTGTCACCTCTCTGTGCTTGTTCAGAACCATGGAGACAGTGGACTAATGGGGTGGAACAGAAGAGGAGAGGGGGGTGAGGCCAAGAGGTGGGAACAGGAGGGAAGATCTTCTCTTCATTTCATAGTTCCAGATGCACCCTGTATCCAGAAAGGAGGAAATGGGGCACATGAAATTGAAATAAGAATGTAGATGTAGTCCTCAGAACTGACTTCTCTACGTCTGTTTGGTTTTTCTTGAGTGCACCGTGGGGAGGAGAATCCTTCACTGGATTACATTTATTTTGGGATTTGGCTCTGTATGTGTGTCTGAATGGGTATATCACATGTGATCTCATTTCCCAGAATAAGAGCTAGGCCAAGGCCATCTATGCATCTTTTAAATACCTAGATTTTCACGTGTTTTTTTTTTTTTTTATTGGGCTGATATTTATGCCCACTTAGCTTTTACCAAAATGAATGTTGACTTCGTACGCAGCTTAAGCAGAGACTGGCTCATTTAAAACTAGCACTCTAGTTTTCTAGGTCTTGCTGTTTGCTGCTTTTATTCTGTTGTACTAATTACTGACTTAGAATTCGTTTGATAATTTATACCAATATGACTCAGAGCACCCAACGTGTGTTCTTTTCTCTCATGTTTTCAGTTTTTCTCTGGTGGTGACTGGCATTTATTCTAAGCATCACTAACCGGCTATAAGCCACAATGGCCCCAAACATTCTGGAACAGCCTGTTCTACCTAATTATCCAGTGACGAGTAACTCAAGCTCAGAGATAGCTGGATGTACAGGACCAGTTTTCCCTTAAGCCACCTCTGTGGTATTAACCTGGCAGCCATAATGTTGAAGCATCCTAATTGTGTAGCAGGTGGTATCTCAGGTGGTATCTGGTCAAGTCATCTGTGGAGCTGATGCACCATGGAGGGAGGGGTAGCTTTTAAGCCTTGTGTTTACAAAACTTGGAATCGATGCAGGTGTTTTGGTCCACTTTGGATGCTCTAAAAGAACACTTGAGGCTGGTAGTTTATAAAGAACAGAGGTTTGTTTGGCTCATGGATCCGCAGGCTGTACAAGAAGCATGGCACCGGCATCTGTTAGCTTCTGGTGAGGGCTTTTGTGCTTTGTCAAAACATGGAGGAGAAGGTCAAAGGGGAAGAGGGAATGTGGGAAGATGGATGGAACAGAGGAGGAAGCTCACTTCGTAATGACCCACTCTCGTGGGAACTGATTCCCTCTCCAAAGAACGAGAACTCCGTGTGTGAGAGGAGCACTGAGCCTTTCATGAGGGATCCACCCCCCCGACCCAAACACCTCCACTAGGCTCCGCCTCCCAACACCGCCACACTGGGGACCAAATTTCAACATGAGACTTGGTGGGGACGACCCAACCGCATCCAAACCACGGCAGTGGAGAAGTTGCTCATCATAGAGCATTAAGTGAAGAAAACAGGACCCCAAAATTGTATCTCCACTATGTAAAAAAAAGCCCTGTGTGGAAAAAGGGCTGGAAGGAAACACGGTCAACGATGAACAATAAAGATTGTCTCTGAATCAAGTATTTGTCTGCCTCTACTAGCTGCTTCCTCACTGGTGGCATCCATATTGTCCTCAATGGGCATGTATTGTTTTCATCATTTTTAACGGGTTTTAAAGACGATGAGACTGAAGTAAGTGAGGTCTCAAGTTGGTGGTGCAGAGCAGGGTCCAGCCTCTGGCCCTCTGTGGATTTTACAACACCCTCCCTGTTCATTTGACAGGAAGTAACCATTGTGTCATGACTGCGTTTTTAATTCTTTTTGACACTTCAGGGCGACTCTTTTTTTTTAAAACAAATTTTGATTTTGGAATAATTTTAAATTCACAGAATAGTTGGGAACATAGTGTAGGAAGTTCTTGTATCCCCTTCACCCTACTTCCGCTCCTGTTGACAACTTACATAATCATGTTACTTTTTGTCAAAACTAGGAAATTAACATTAGTGGAATGCTGTTCACTAAACAGTAAAATTTATTCTAATTTCTCTAGGTTTTCTGCTAGATGTCCTTTTACTGTTCCAGGATCCAGTGCAGGATTCCAATATGTTGCATTTAGACAGTGGTTCTTTTTAAAGTTACAAATCGGAGCCGCATTCTCCCAGGGTGTGTGCGCAAATTATCTTTTTCATATACATAAAAACGAGATTTTTTTTCTTCCAGACGTGGAGAAGGTGACACAGAGAAACAGTCGGCCTCTCTCACCTTTTGAAACGGGATTCCTTGTTCTACAAAACCCGGGGTCTAACCCTACGCACCCCCCTTCCCACCCTCTGCATTATGCTAAACTACAGCAGGTCTGTGAAGGAAAAACTGCAGGGTAAAGGGAGCATTTTGAAAATCCCGTGGCATTTTCATAGCATCGCTTATAAATCCGTCAGAGTTTAAGAAGCTATGGTTTTTGTTCAGAAATCCTGTTTTGCATGAGGAGTCCATCATGTTGCAACGGCTCTGAGGCGTGGGGCCTGTGCGTGGCCCCGCTGCGGGTGGGTCTCTGGGCTGGCTGCAGCAGGAAGCAGTAATGCGGTCGCACCAGAGCAGCCACAAGGAAGCCAAGGCCAACCAGAGTCTGAGAAGGAGGCTTGTCCAGGGTCCCAGGAGTGAACATAAGAAAACAAATTCGGTCAGGAAATTGCATGATGGAAATGTCTGGCGTCTGGTTCTCTGAGACTGACCGGACTCTAGCCAAGGATTGACTGAGCTACCTTGTATTTGCCTCAGATCTGTGTTTGCTGA